ACACACACACACACACACACACACACACACACACGCACACGCACACTCATACACACACACACACACATACACACGAGCTCATTGACACAGACACAAACACACAAATAAAGTGCACACATATACATAGTGACACTGCTAAAATCTTCAAACAAGTTTGATTTTCTAGGTCATAATAAGTGCATGATAATGATGAAAACCGTGGCTAAGGTCAACAAGAAAGCAATTACGTGTATGTGACATTGTGGAATCAATAACGTGTGTACGACCCAGCGTCATTCGCAACCTGAACCGACTAGTTTTTGTTCAATATGATCGTACGTATTGTGTTCATTTGATTGAAAAGATCACGGTCATTTGAGCGTACAAATCAGGCCCATATGATCGAAAAGATTGGGTCCATCGAAGAGATCAGGTTCATTTGATCAAAAAGAGCGGGTCCATTTGACAGTACAGATTGGGTCCATTTGAACGTACAAACTGTGTCCATTTGATCGAAGATATCAGGTCCATTTTTTGGTCCATTTAATGGTACAAATCAGTTTCATTTGATCTTACAGATCAGGCCCATTTCATCGAGACAGATTGTTTCTATAATTTGAGCGCGCAGGTTGTGTTCCTTTATAGAAGCGATACAATTTTTTACTGCCAATCCTTTCTGGGTGGTGAGCAATGATGTCATCCAATGCATTGCAATGTGGTAGACAGGCTCGCTTAGGTATCCATTCAAAGTGCTAGCTTTGTGCACCCTCATTAGTGATATTTTTTGGAAGTACAGGGTGATCCCCCCAAAAACAAAACAAAAAAACTACAACTTTTTTCAAAATATTTCGCACAAATTTGTACTAGAATGCTGTAATTTGGAACATTGAAAAGGAATTTGTTTGACATAAAATTCAGAAAGAACAAATATATTTTCGAAAACGGAAACGGCTTTTATAAAAAAAAACCCCACCTATAAATGCAAAATGCACAAATTTGAAAGATCTTATAAGGAAAGTCATGAAATGATTGGGGTTTTTTTTTCTTTCCTTTCATAAAAAAATCTAATCTTTCCATCCCTGTAACCTTTAAACAATATTTATTTTCTCCCACAGAGTTAACAATATTTTTTTTGTAAATTCCGGAATTCCGAGAAGCAATGGTCTATACGTCCTCCTTTGGACTCGACACAGTTTGAACTCGTCGTTCATAATGTTCAGTGGTGGCCAAACACAAGGATCCCCTCAACCATGAGTACTCATAGCCACACACAATGTAAACCTTACAGTATGGAGCGGTTTCTAGAGACAATAGGGAGGGGGGATGGGGTTGCCCAAGTAGACAGCATTTGTGGAGTTGATACTCGTATAACCTGAAAAGTGAATATGGGCTTTTAGTGTAGGAGAGAAACGACAAAAATACTGGAAGAAAGGAAAAAATTGCAATAGAAACAAAAAGTATTGGGATGTACATAGAATTAGGTCACTTTCAACATATTAAAAATGTACGTTCACGCATTAATGGGAAATGCTATGTTTAACTCGGGGTCAACGTTATTAAAATATCTTTTAGAACATAGTCATGTTGCACCTCGTTTGAAAGCTCGACAAAAATGGTGTTTGACTATATAATATTGAAAGAGCTTGGAGGCCAAATAGGAACACAAACACACCAAATGGAATTTCACAACAGTAGATCGTACACGATCATCCTGTCCGGTATTTCAAGAGTATCAAGCCCGTCAGGAAACTCCAGGAGACTGATATCATCTTCCTCAGTAAGTGATGGGCAATTTGTGCTGGTCAAACCCATGCAACCTCCACATGAAATGGAACTTTCCAGTCCGTGGCGACGACCCGTACAATTTCTGGACTTACAATCTGTTCTACAGCTGCACTTAATCACCTTCAACAGAGAATGTGGGGCAGGTGGCATATCTGTCGTGCATGGCTCTAAGTGATCATCATGCAGCTGCCATCCCCATTGTGTGTTGAATATTACCTGCACTTGAACTTGAAGATACACCCGAAGACTGTGGTACTTGGCTGCAGTACTGGTTGGCGGCAAGCATTGGATTTGGACGGATGTGGCACATGATGCAGCCCTTATATAGAACCTCTTGTAACGCAGTTGGCCAAGGGTGTCTGCAGCTGTGCCATTGTAGAGACTGACTAAACCTCTTTCTCCCGCATCATTGATGTCTTCCTGAGTCTTTCCTGCTGTATAAAAAATATGAGCTCGCTTTCGAAAATGAGCATCTGTCAATTTTCTCATTGGAACCATTTTTCCCAGCCCAAAAAGTCTCGAAGTTAAATCACAGCCTTTGACAGCATGAAGAAAATGACACGTTTCTTCGCCTAGTTTCTCTTACAGGTTCT